GCCCTGAGTTTGATTCCTCAGCACCACATAAGCAAAAAGAAAAAAAAAGCCAGAAGTGGCGCTATGGCTCAAGTGGTAGAGCGCTAGCCTTGAGCTGAAGAGCTGAGGGACAGCACCCAGGCCCAGAGTTCAGGCCCCACGACCGGACCAAAAAAAAAAAAAAGAGTCTCATGGATTTTCCTGCCTGGGCTGGCTTTGAACTTTGACTCAGATCTTAGCCTCCTGAGCAGTTGCTATTATAGGCATGATTCACCAGAACCTCGGGCTTCAGGAGAGCGATTTAACAACAAAACTAAAAATCTTTTATGAGAATGGGAAGATATGCTAGTTCAGGGTGAGTTACCAAAAAAGATTCATGTAGATTTTTTTTAAACTCTGGTTATCAGAGTTTCATGTCTGTTTTCCCAGCTACTCAGGAGTCTGAAGCAGGAGGACCTCTCCAGTCCAGAAATTCAAGTGGCCTGGGCAACATAATGAGGCCATACCTTAAAAGAAACAACAGCAGAAAATAAAACACTGCTTGAAATGATTTTAACCCACAATCTTTATGAAAGAGATCCAATCCGAGGAGAACAAACTCCAGTGCAGTTCTTCCTAATGATTATTCTAAACAGAAGTAACCTTCCCAACTAGTGTCAGTCTTTCCCATTGCATATATCTACAGGACTGCTCAAGACTCAGGTTTCAGACAGATTGTGGAGTATGTGAATGGAAATTAGGTTTAGCTATGCCCTGAGATTGTATCTGTGTACTAAAACATGCCCAAAGCAAGATCTCCAGTGCCCTCCAAACAAAGCACACCAGGACAGAAAGCAGGTCATCCTAAGGAAGTGGCTCAGGCTCTTTTAGGTTCTCTCTGTTATCTCTGCTTTCCAAATGATATATTTCTTTCTGTTACTTCATAGGGACTACCAGAAAATTCCTGAAGATTAAGTGAGTTGATTGACCTGTTTCACCAGTTAGCCAGGGAAGACTCCTTCTTCTTTAAAATAAAAGGGAGGTGGCTTTTACCAGTTCTGGGTTGACCAGTTGTAAAGTTTCATTCATCATTCAAACTAACTGGAATGTTTCCAGGCTCTGTGAGTGTGGAAATGGCATCATTCACTCATTCATTCTGTATTATTTGGACCTTTTTTTTTTGTCAGTCATGGGGCTTGAACTCTGGGCCTTGGTGCTGGTCTTGAGCTCTTCAGCTCAAGATGAGCACTCTACCACTTGAGCCATAGTGCCGCTTCCATTTTTCTAGTGGTTAATTGGAGATAAGAGTCTCACGGACTTTCCTGCACAGGATGGCTTCGAACTGTGATCCACAGATCTCAGCCTCTTGAGTAGCTAAGATTGTAGGTGTGAGTGACCAGCACCCCGCTTTATTTGGATTGTTGGGTGCCATTGATGGAAAGTGAATTTGAATTTGATTACTAATGTGGGAAATAGGATATTTGACTGTGTCTGAAAATCTAAGTACAGACATGAGACTGAGTTTCAGGGATAACTAGAAGTAGAGTTCCAAAACCACGGGGACTCTCCTCTCTAACTCACACACATTTTCCACCTCCTTTTTGGGTCATAGTTTCACTATGTAGTCCAGGCTGGCCTTGAACATGAAATCTTCCCAACTTCGCCCCCTGAGTGCTAGAATCACAGGTATATACAATCATATCTATTTCAATCTTCTCTCTTCATGGATAGGTTTCTTCTGTTTCTCCATGAGCTCCTTGGCTATTTGCAATCAAGATGCAAAGATTGACTAGCTTTTGTTTTTCAGTTCTGGTTTTAAAATTCTTGGAAAAGAACTTTGCTGGCCTGATTTAGGTCCGAGATGGGTTGAGCACAAAAAATTAAAGGCTTGGCTGAGTTAAGTCACGTACCCATCCTGATATTAGCTGGGATTAGGTCAGCAGGTCACCCTGTACTGATGGCCTTCTTGTGGGTTCAGGAGAGAGGTACCAATTAAGCAAAACAAAAGATGTCCACTACCTATTCTTTGTTCTTGACCTGATGTCCTCTTTCCAAACAGAACTGGGGATTATGTAGGCACTGTTTTGCCAGAAACTACTGACTAGCCTTGTGTTTTCAATCTATCTCTTGGCAACCCCTTTGTTCATACCTTGTCTACTTATATATGACATTTCCCAAAGGCTGTTTCCTATCTTTTTTTCTATAGTTTTTAGCTATATACAGTTTTTTTTTTTTAGCGCTTATTCATATCTACCTGTTTTTCATTCCTTTTAATGCTGATCCTGGGGTTTGAACGCAAAGCTTGGGTCCTGTCCCTGAGCTTTTGTGCTGAAAGCTAGTGCTCTACCACTTGAGCCACAGCTCCATTTCTGGCTTTTTGATAGTTAATTGGAGATAAGAGTCTCAAGGACTTTCCTGCCTGGGCTGTCTTCAATCTCAGCCTCCTTAGTAGCTAGGATTACAGGTGTGAGCCACCAGCCTCTATTTCATTCTTATGGTCAGACTGGCTGCCTTCCTCATTATCCAATTCCTCAACAACTAAATTTCTCTCTTTTTTTCCCCCCTTCATCTATCTTATCTTACTCCCTCAGATCTCCAGAGAAAAGATTCGTTTTCATCAGAATATAGAGGTGATCAAGTTCCCCCAGGCTAGCACAGCCCAAACTGAGAATCCCTGGGACAATGAGACAGATGCTGGATTAGTTACTTAGCAGTGTAGTGGCTTTTCCTGCCACAAACAATAGAAATGCTTACAGGAGGTTAAGCTCTGCATTCACTTCCTTTCCACACACTACGTGCAAAACCAAAAAATGGTTTGAAATTGTTTCTTTTTTATTTGAGAACTCTCTGCCATATGCAGGGATTATTACTATACTTACCAATCTTGTTACTATCTCAATAGTACTAATTATTATTCCCTTTACCTTAGGTCACTATATATTAATTTGTATTTTCTAGGATTTTATATAAATAGAATTATTCAATAAGTATATTTTATGTCTGGCTTTTAGTCAGCATGCATATTTTGAAATTTACTCCTATTGTATATAATAGTAATTTGGTCGTTTTGTAGTGATCTAAAAGTTTTAATTACTTGCTAATTTTTTATTATGGAATATTTTAATATACTTAACAAAATAGGATCCTCTTACACACATTAATTCAGGCTCAACAATCATCCAGCCAAAGTCAGTCCTATTTTTGCTTTATCTCTATTCTTAACTCCCTCTTGTATGACTTTGAAGTGAATGTTAGGTATCATATCATCTGTATTTCAATATTTACTTGTAGAAGATAGGGATAGTTGTTGTTTTAAAGATATAAACACAATGCCACTATCGTGTCTATAAACTTTGAACAATAACTTCTTGATTTTTATTAAATATCCAGTCAGTATGGAAATCAACTATCTTTTTTTTTTTTTTGGGTCCAGTCGTGGGGCCTGAACTCTGGGCCTGGGCACTGTCCCTCAGCTATTCAGCACAAGGCTAGCGCTCTACCACTTGAGCTACAGTGCCACTTCCGCCTTTTTTCTTTTTGCTTATGTGGTGCTGAGGAATCGAACCCAGGGCCTCAGGCATGCAAGGCAAGCTCTCTACCACTGAGCCACTTTCCCAGCCAGGAAATCAACTATCTTGTAAATGTCATATTACTTACATATTTGTTTAAATCAGATGGAGCATGTAGGATACACAATACTATCTGTATAATACAGATATACATCTCAAATCTATTTAAATGTGTAAATCCTTATTAGTTTATTGGTGCTGGTATAATGAAATAGAGACTAGGTAACTTATAAATAATAAGAAATTTATTTCTGACATCTCTGGAGTCTGGGCAACCCAAGGTCAAGGCACTGGAGGTTTTGGTCTGGTGAGGACTGCCTTACTTCTGTGCTTTCACAAAAGACAAAGCCAAGGGCTAAATGGGGAGGGAAGGGGTCTACTGTCCTAATCATCCCTTTTATAAGGTTGTTAATTCCACCTCTTCTCCCACTTCATAAATAGAAGGGAGCAAAATATTCATCCACAGCATCTCCTTTGGCCTTGCGGGGTCCACCTCCCCTCCCTCTTCTGTATCCTCCCTCCTCTTCTCCCTCCTCCCCACCCTACCTCTCCTACTACTTTCTTTTGTTGATTTGTTATTTTTGTTCGTGGGGGCTTAACTCAGGGCCTAGATGCTGTCTTTGAGCTTCAAGGCTATTAGTACTCTACCCCTTTGAGCCACAGTGCCACTTGCAGTTTTTGAGTGGTGAATTGGAAATAAGTGTCTCACGGGGACTTTTCTGCCCGAGCTGGTTTTGAACTGTGATCCTCAGATCTCAGCTCCGGAGTAGATAGGATTACAGGCGTGAGCCACCGTCAGGCTGACTTTTTTTTTTTTTTTTTCCTTTTTTGAGTCTCTACCCACCTTATTTCTACCCACCTTTTAGGCTGGGGGAGGGTTACTCAGTGTCAGTGTTTGCCTAACTTACGCCAGGTCCTGGGTTCGGCGCTCAGCATCATAAAAGCAAACAAAACAAAACAAAAAACCAAGTAAGTTCTTTTTACCACTTGTCCACTCAGAATCATGAGGTTATTGCATTTGGTGAATCTATCTCTAAAACCTTTTTTTTTTTGCAATCTCCCATTCTCTCAAAACCATTGCTTTGTTGAGGAAACCTGATGACTTGCTTTTCACATCTGCCCATTCAGTCCTAGTATTTGGCAGACAGGGCAACTCAAGCATACAGTGTTTGATTAATCTGATCCAATCAACTAGCGCCTCTCTGCTTTGAACTCTGGCGATTTCCGCTTTTCCGGTTCTCACAGAAGCCCAAGGGCACCCTCCAACCGGAAGCCACCGTTCACTGCCTGTCCGCCCATTTAGCTCGGCCACGCCCATCCATCCCGCCCGTCGTGGCCACGCCCGCTAAGGCGGGCTCAAAGGCGGGGCGAGCGCCGAGAAAACCACATTTCCCAGAGTGCACCGGAACGGCACGGGCCTCCCACGGGCGTTCCGTGGCCGGCGCCATTTCCGTGAAGGGGAACGGCGGCGCGGCCTAGGGTTATGGCGCTGTTCCCGGCCTTTGCGGGCGTTAGTGAGGCCGCCGGTAGTGGAGGCCCCAGGAAAGGTAAGCGCACAAAAGAGCGGCAGAACGTTCTCGGTGGCGTTAATGGCAGTTTCTTGTGCCCAGATCTTCGCCCTAACCTTGGCTTTGTTTATCCACCTGTATCCCAGAGTTCCCCGCGGCTCCGCAAAGCCTTCTGGGAAAGCTGGGGCGTCTGGACTGGGCCTTGAGGACCTGGCTGGGGCTGTTGTGGTCCTGGTTTAGCAAAGCCAGGCAAAGGGACGTGGGCTGCGACGAAGACATCACTTATGTCGATGGGCTTCAGTCCTCAAGCCTCATTTCTTCTTTAAAATATGAAGAGTGCACCTCCACACCGGAAGTACTTTGCAAGGAGACCCCTGATACACATGTTGAGTTTTAAAATGATGCGTTCCTCGATTTTCCTGGCTCAGTTATTGCTGAAGTGCTTCTTAGGTTCTTATCTTTTGGCAGCCCCAGCTTAAGGATTAAGATCCAAAGCCTAATCAGATGGGCAAATGCATACAGTAAAAACAAGCAATCATATTTTTCTTGAGGGTTTATACTTGTGAGATTGCAACAGTTGTGTGTTTTATTTAAGCCTCACCTCAAATGGGCTGCATCGTTAAACATTGAGGTACTAGTGGATTCATTTAAAAAGTAATCTGAAGTCATGCATCTGCTGCGACAGAGTCCAGTTGTGGCTGACATCTGTGCTTTACAACAGATTTAAAGATTGCAACTGGCTTTTACTCAGGATTCTAGAATCCACTGGCTCTCAGAACCAGAACAGGATTAAAAAAAAAAAAATCATGGGCTGCAACATGCCAGACCCCATTTATAGATGAAAATGGGAGTGAGATACAGGGACAGTTTAATGGGTTTAGTGGGATGCTTTGCTTGTATCAGCTTGTTGGACTGAGACTGGCCAGTTTTGTTCCAGGAGTATACTCTTCCAGGAGTATACTTGGCTTACTAAGCCAGGTTGCAGTTCCCCTATAAGGATACAAGAATTTATCTGTGACTTTCTCAGTTTACATTTAACATACCTCCGTTAATATCTTCTAGCTCCTACATTTTTTGGTAAAATGTCTCATAATTGTGATTTCTTGTGTGGTTAGTATATATATTTTATATGTATAAATACGCATGTGTATATATGTTTATATACACATGTGTGTGCATACACACACACACACACACAGGGACTCCACCTGAGCTTTTTGCTCAAGGCTAGCATTTGAGCAACAGCTCCTCATCCAGCTTTTTGGTGGTTAACTGGAGATAAAGAGTGGCACAGACTTTCATACCCCAGCTGGCTTTGAACCATGTTCCTTAGATCTCAGCCTCCTGAGCAGATAGGATTATATGTGGCATGGGCCACTATTACCAGCTTGTTTGTTGTTGTTGTTGTTTTTTTACTAGACCGTAACCTCAAAGTCTAGGACAGTGTGTGTTCATTCAGTGTAGTGTACTTAGTCTGTAGTACAGGTCCAAAATACAGAAATCATTCCATAAATACTTGCTGCTGTACAAGTCGATAGTAAGTACTTAACAGTGTGTTACTTTAGCGCATGAATGAACCTAAAAAAATAATACAAGCTAGGATGTTACAGATGTCACAGACAAACGAACCACAGGAATATTAACTTGTAAGGTTTAGAGGATGCATTATATAAGGGATAACTTTTGGGATGAGTCTTAAAGAGGATAGGATCTGGATAGAGATAATGGAGAGCATTCCAGGACCTTCAAAGGCCAGTGCAAGGAAAAACATGAGATCCATGCAGAGAATTGCAAATAATCTACTTTGTCTGAAAATGTGATTAGGGCTATTGGTAAGGGATTATTTAATAGCATCCAAAGATTGCATTTTGAGAGAGGGAGAAATAGAAGGTTTTCAAGGGAGTGTTCCTCTTCTCATCTATCTTAGCTACTATATTCTCTGGATATAGACTTTTTCCCCCCATAGTACTGATGTTTGAATTCAAGGCCTTACGCTTGCTGGCTACGCAAGCATTCAAGCTATATGCCTCCAGCCCTATAGAAGTACTTTTTATAAAACATTTAAAATTTAAATACATTGTAATTTTTTAATATTACAGCCAACATTCAGCTTTTCTAGGTTGGCACAAAAATGGCCTTTTACAGTTGTTTTCTTAAGTCAGGATCCAAAAGAGGTCAAGATCTACATTTCATTTTGTGGATATGTTTTATGTCTGTTCCAATGTAAAATTCCTTCCCCTCCCCTCCCCTCCCCACCAGTTCTGTGGCTTGAACTCAGGGCCTAGGAACTTCTTTTGCTTCAGGCTAGCATTCTATTACTTGAGCCAAGTCTCCACTTCTGGCTTTGTTTGGGTAGTTTAGTGGAGATAAGTCTCATAGACTTTCCTACCCTGTCTGGCTTTGAACTGCAATCCTCAGATCTCAGCCTCCAGAGTAGTTAGGACCTCAGACGTAAGTCACCAGTATCTGGCCTCTCTTCTAGTTTCTTAGGGGATTTATTTGTTGAGGAAACTAGGTCATTGTTTTGAAGACCAAACCTTTACTGTGGTATTTAACATGCATCTCTGTCCCAGGAAGCTGTTAACTAGATGTAGAGAAATGATTAGAATCAGATGTAAATTTTTGTTGAAGAATACATTGTTAGGAATTTGTGCACTTGTATGAAATCATGACAGAAGGTGGCACTACCCAGTTTCCTTCGTGATGTTAAGTCTGGTCAGTGGATTTGTGTATTTGAATCTCATCCATTAGGAGTGAGGTCCATCTGTTAGTCTTCAATGAGGTGTTTTTTTTTTTTTTTTTTCCTCTGAAGTAATGAGGTTTGAACCTGGGGTCTCAAGCCTGCTACTCAGAGACTTTACTGCTGAATCATGTTTCCAAACCAGTTTTTTTTTTTTTTTTTTAAAATCAAGGGCTTGCTGTGCAGCCTAGGTTGATCTCAAACTTATAAATCTTCCTGCCTTGGCCTCCCTAGTGCAGAGATTAAAGGCAGCTACCACCAAGCCTAACTCTTAGCTAATGAGTTTTTTCAGTTTGTGATTAGTGTTTAGGTTTATTGTTTCATTGAAATAATTCTTTTTCCTCCCCTTTTCATTCCATCCTTCCCTCTCTCCCCATCCCCCTTCTGGGCATACTATGGTTTGAATTCAGGATCTCCTGCTTGCTACACAGTTGCTCTGCCACTGAGCCATGCCTCCAGATTGGCATTTTCATTAGGCAATAATATCCTTACATTGTTTTCCTTTACGCACCTTCTTTTCCCTTCTCTTTCTTAAGTGCTTGCTATGGTGAAGGTTGTCTTAGATCCTGAAGATCTCTCTTATGGCAGTGTGGAAATCTTACTGGTGCGCCCAGCTCCACTGTGCGTGTCACATAGTTACTCCATCGGTTCCCTCTTAAGGACTTGGGATTGTTTCCTTTTGCTCTCATAAAAAGAAGCGCTGCACTGTTGGCTTTACACCATGAAATGTTATAAAAAGTGAAAGATACTATTAGGAGGGTGGATACAGAGTTCTAGTTTGCAAAAGAAAAACACTATCAGAAAGACTTAAAAGGGAGAGGCCAAGAAAGCTGGCCGTTTTGGTGGTGCTAAGAGCTAGGCCTGTCATTGAATAGGCATCATGTTTAGCAAGGGCAGTGGGGAGGCTGGATTCTGTGCTGCGCCTTCTTTGAACAAACAGGCTTAAAGAGGGGCCATTGTGCTAGGAGGAGCAGAACATCCAGTTTGCAATCCCTCCAAGTCTTCTTTTTTTTTTGGTCAGTTGTGGGGCTTGAACTCTGGGCTTGAGCGCTGTCCCTGTGCTCTTCAGCTCAAGGTGAGTGCTCTACTGCTTGAGCCACAGCGCCACTTCCAGTTTTCTAGTAGTTTATTGGAGATAAGAGTCTCATGGACTTTCCTGCTCAGGCTGGCTTTGAACCTCGATCCTCAGATCTCAGCCTCCTGAGTAGCTAGGATTACAGGCGTGAGCCACCGGCGCCCAGCCAATCCCTCCAATTCTTGAGCTTTGCTTCTTACTCTCAGGTTGTTTATTAGGATTGCATACCTAAAATAAATGTGCCTGTGAGTCAAGTAGTTGGTCAGAGTTGGAATGAAAGATGGTGGTAGAGTTCATTTAGTCTCCATAATAACATATATAACATTTTGGGGAAGAAACTAAGTTTATTATCTTTCCTCCAGAACCATTCATTTTGGAAAATGGCACCACTATTCACCCAAACAAAAACTTAGGCACATACTACCACTTCTTTCTCCCATTTAGTTCTTCCTCTAGCCCTTGTAAGCCACTCAGTAGTTCATTATTACTATTTTTCCCTCATTCTCAAACCACTACCTACTTTCCTTCTTAGTCATCCCTGGATTTCTACAGCAGCCTCCCCAAATAGTTCTGCCCTGCGTTAGGCTGTACCTTCACTTCAGGAACAACCCTCCTCACTGTAGCCAGCATTTTAAAATGTATTTATTTTAAGAACACTATATCACTCAGTAGTCTAAATGCTTTACAAATATTAACTCATTGACTCCTCGTAACAGCCCTGTGTTGGCACTGTGCCTTTTTTGAAGGAGGAGGAAATGGAGGTACAAAGCTAGTAGGTTATTTGCCCAGGATTAAGTGGCCAATGAGTCACAGAACAAGGATTGGGATTCAGGCAGGTCCAGCCTCAAAGTGTGCTCACCAGTGCTGCCATTTGAACACCAGCTCTGATTTTGCCACTCTTGCCCAAAACTCTTGGAATGTCTGTCTCTTAGGGTAAACTCAAACCACTGAACTTGTTTTTTATGGCTTGAGCTCTTCACTTTTGTTTTCCTGCCAGTTGTCCAGCCATGACTACCTACTATTGCCCCAGTCATGTTTTCTCACTCTCAGACATTGGAGATTCTGTTTTCACACCTAGATACTTTTTCAGAGCTCATTTACCTACCTGCGTCCTCTGCCTTTAGATCTTTCTTAGCTTAGATGTTCTACAAGACAGCTTTCCCTGGTTCAGATGTCCTTTGACTTAAGGAATCTCCTGTGAGTGCTTGCTACAGTCTCTGTGTT